TCATCTCTGTGTCATGCTGGTTCATCAGCTCCAGCAGCCGCAGCTCAATCTGGGCCTGGTTCAGGAAGGCCTTTTTGTTCTTGATGATCTTGATGGCCACCAGCTCCTGCGTCTGATGGTCGTAGGCTTTCACCACCTGCTGGGGCAGGACGTGTCACAAGCTGGGGAGGGCTGAGGGGATGGGGCACAGCCAGGCAACTCCTCTCTCCAACCAAGGGGACCCACCACCACCACCACCACTAATAATTCACATTTGAGTGCTTACTATCAGTTAGGTAGTGGTATAAACACGGGACGTGAAGTTACAGAACTACCTTATGTGGCGAGTCCTGTTATTTGCACTATTTTACAGAAAAGGAAACTGAGGCACAGGGAAGCTAAGTGACTGGGCTTGGGTGACAGGCCCCAACGGGCTTGAAGCCACTGAACCACTGGGTGTGTGGGTCAGTGTCAGTGGGTCCCCACGCGCCCCGATCCCCGGGTGGGGGTGGGTGTCCCGCACCTGGCCAAACGAGCCCTTGCCAATGAGTGAGTCAATCTCATAGCGCTCCAGCCACCGCTCGCCACTACGCACGATGTAGTCATGGTTGGCGTCGTCATAACCGTGGTTCAGGACCTTCTTCTCCTTCTTGGTGCTCGAGTCTTGGGGCGGCGCCTGCTGGGCCCGCCGCTTCTTCTTCGCATAGTATACCTGCCCAGCCAGGTAAGCGGGAGATGAGGACCAGTGACCAACCCGCACTGGTGGCCAGTGCCCCCTGCCCCCTGCCCGGGGCTCCCCGCCTCTGCCCACCTCATTGATGTGCTTGTAGGTCTTGATGAGGTCCACAGAGAGTTTGCGCAGTGGGGCGGAGGTCGCGTCTCGGAAGGCCAGGGGTAGCCTCCGAGGCAGAAGCCGCACATCAGGCAATACCTGTGGGGTGGGGTGTCGGGTGGGCACTGAGAACAGGCGAGATCCCTCACCTCTGACCTCAAGGGGTGAACCATATGGGTGGCTCGCTCACCAGTACCCCCCACACAGTCGTGAATTTATCTGGTCCTAGTCTGTCTCCCCGACTAGAATACAAACTCGATAAGGGCAGAGACTTTGTCTTGTCCTTGCCCTGCCCTCAGTGCCCTGAGCAGGGCCTGGCACACAGTGGATGTTCACCAGAGATTTGTGGAGGGAATGAATGATTAGTTACCCCTGACCTTTCACCCCGTAACTTTACTGCTGAGTCAATGGGAGAGATCATATGGGAAATCTGGCCTCTGTCCACCAATCCTTCAGTCTGAGACTCTCCATCTGGATATCCCACGTCTGGGTCCCTCTCCCCCCATTCTGCTTTACCTTCATCTCTTGGGGCCCTCCCAACCCTCACCCCTCACTGAGCATCTGTGCCTAGTTCTTTCACAAGGATCTGGAATCTGGATCCTGCAGCCTAGATCCCCTACTCTATCTATCCTGCTCCAGCTCTACATTCCAGAGCCTCAACTGCCTCTACCCCTGGAGATCTTTAACCTGTACCTGCCAGGTCCCGATGGTCCCCAAGCCCTTCAGTCTCAGCCCTCCTCCCCACCCACTCTCTCCAGATCTTTCACTCAGCACTGTCTTTCCTTAGTGAATATTTATTTGGTGTTTACTGTGTGCCAGGCACTGTTCTCAGCATTGCACGCGCATTCCGTTACCTTGTTTAATCCTCACAGCAACCCTGTGAGGTAGGGATCATTACTGGCCCCATTTTACAAATGAGAAAACTGAGGCATAGAGAACCTAAATAACTACCATGTCAAGACCTAGAGCGAGGTCCGCAAACCCTGACTCTGCCTACACCTTTTCTATTATCTTCCACTCCCAGTGGGGCCCTTCACGCCCCCAGGAGGCTGTCCGGCAATCATGCTGTTTCTTTCACCAAGACCCTTCTCTCCCCAGCATCCCCGACCCCGGGCAGGTAAGGAGCCAGCCAAACGTGTACCTGCGGGTGCTCCTGGGGCCCCGGGAAGCCAGAGAAGGGACCATGGCCCGGTGGGACGGCCATGGTGGGCTCAGAGGGCCGCAGGGGAGCGAGGCCTGGAGCGGGAGCCCGGCCGGGGGGCGCCTTCTCGCATCCTGCACCTCGGCTGCCACCGCCGCTGAGACCTGAGAGCAGGCGGGGAGGCAGGGGAACAATATGGGACAAGGGGATGTGTGGGGCAGTGCCAGGCGGGAGAGAGGTGGGCACAGAGAGAGAAAGCAAGGCACACAGGGAGGAGGAGAAGGGTAAAACAGAGCAGAAGTGGTGACAAAGAGAAGGGACCGTAAGAAGTAGCGGACAGGTGGGGAGGGGGTGCACACCAGAGGCCCTCAACAAATGATCATCAGATACATGAATGAGGTGGGACAAAGACAAGGACGTGCCAGAGGAATGATCAGGAGCAGTACAAGAGCAGGGAGCGGTGGGTGGGGGTGTATGGGCCACAGCAGGGAAGGAGGACAAAAAGACACCAGTAATTGAGGGGAGGACAAGAGAAGAAACGATAGAAACCAGAGACGGTATGGGGCGTCGGGTTCTTTCTTTTCTTCTCATTGCCACTCAGGCCATCCCCAGGACCCCCTCCACAAGCTCCTGCCCTCCTGTAGTCTTCCCCGATTACCACGAGCTCATCCCATATCACAGCAAGTTCCCTTCACTACAAGATCTACCCTTCCCAGTAGCTCCCCCAATCCACAGAACTCTAAAGTCCCCCCAAACCACACCGGAGTCCTCTGAGATCCCCCAAATCACAGTAGTGTCCTTTGTAGGCCCCCCAAATCCACATCAAGTCCCCTGCAGACCTCCCAACCACACCAAGATTACCTGAGGTACTCTGTATCACGAGTCCTACCCCTATGGTAGTCCCACCAGGGCACACCCTTCCCCGCGGATCCTCCCTATTTCATGCCAAGACTTCTTCCCTATGCGGGCCCTCCCACATCAGGCAACACTCCTCCAGATAGTCTCCCTACACCATATCCCAGTTCCTCCTACCACATCAGAACTCTTCCCCATAGTATTGCAAAGTCCCCCTCCCAATCAAGGCCAACTCTCCTGATGGGAGCAAGGGGGAGGTGTCTCCTCCCATGACTTACAATGATCTTCTTTCTCTCTCCTACAATGAATCCTCCCTCTGCCCAATGTTCCCACCAGAGCCCCATCTCCAGTCAGCCTTCCCTATACTAGGGTCATCGCACAACAGTGCCCCTTCTTAGGAGGCTCCCAAAGCTAAAATTCCCCAAACACCGCAGGGTTTTCCCGGGTGTCCGACACACCAAAGTCCCTCTCCCCAAAGTCTAACCATGTCAGATGCCTTTCTCCTATCCTAGGCCTTGCCACTCCACGACAACCCCCCCTCTCTTGAAGCTTCCCTCTGAAGGTTCCCCCTCCAAAACAACTTCATTCCCAGGACCCTCCAACACCACGCCCGTCTCTCCCAGCCTCCAACCCCTACCCGGGTCAGGGCTGGTGCGGGGCCCATGGGGGGCTGGAGCGCGGTGGGGCCCCCAGTGGGGCGGGCGGATGGCCAGCATGGCGGTGGTGGTGGCAGTGAGGAGGCGGCCGCCTGTCCCTGGCCCGGGCGGCCCGGCAGGCCCCACGGCGGGGAGGGCAAGCGGCACAGGCGGCCCGGTGGG